ACAGGCACGCACAGCCTCACTGAGAAGGGTGCGTATTCCATGCCCTGCAGAGCTGGTCTTGGAGCTGCTGCAACCTGGCGTAGGGAGCTCTCTGCACAGCTGTAACAAGGCTGATGGTGTCTAATGCCAGCTTTGAAACAGCAGGGCTCCTGTCGTCTCTCGTGGCTTGAAGGGCTGGAACAGAGAGGACCAGAGCCAAGGTCAGAGCCTGGATTGGTGGGGACCCGAGGAGCCCCTCCTGCCAGGACCATCCCAGCCAGCTCTTGCCATGGCCAGGAGGGAGCCATGATCCCCAAGGGATCAGCCAGAAGGTGCTGGTCACCAACATCCCTCCTGGCCCTGAAATCTGTCTCTGCTCTGCCCACGTGGCCCCTCGTCTGTGCAGGGAGCAGAGCCCTCTGCAGCCAGGGCAGGACTGCAGCTCCCTGCTCAGGGTCTGAGCTCCCCCCACCAGCCCCCTCTGCCCCCACTCACTGTCAATGATGAGCTGCAGCTCTTGGTACCGTCCCCTCAGGTACTTGGCGGCCATCCCTGGGAACACAGATGCTGTCAGGGCCCCAGCGGTGTCACAGCTTCCCCCCAGTGGCCTCACCTGGGGACGCCCCAGGGCTGGTCTGGCACAGGGCGGCAGCAGCGCCAGGGCACTCGGGGCTCCCCAGCACAGCCCTGGCCGCATCTGCTGCCGCTGCAGCAGCCGGGGCTGGGGCCGAGCTGCAGCGGGGCGGGCAGGGACCTTGTGGCTCACCCATGAAGGTGACGGCTGCCTCTCGCAGGGGCTGCTGTGGGCTCCAAAGGTACGGCAAGGCCTGGTGCACGTACTTGGTCACTTGGCTCCGGTCCTTCTTCAGCTGCAGAGAGCAGCAGGGCACAGAGGGAATGGTTGGCTGGGGCTCTGCCCCTTGGTCGGGCGCTGCCTGCGCCCAGCACTGGCCGCCCTGCCCCACAGCCCAGCTGGGCCGGGGCTCCAGCGGCACCCTGGCTCGGGGGCACAGGAGCTGCAGAGGAGCCCACACGCCCCAGGGAAGGCAGCAGCGGCTGGGGCGCAGGCTGCTGTCCCACAGGGGCTGCAGCAGTGGGCAGGGGCACAGTGCCAGCCCCACACTCGGGCCATCGGGGACTGGAGCTTAAGGGCCGTCCTTACCAGGCACTCGGCGAACCTCCATGGCTCCTCTCTGGTCACCAGCTGCTCAAGATCCCTCCTCTTCAGGAATATGGCCACGGCCAGCAGTGCTTCCCGAGAGGCCTGCAGAGCAACAGAGACCACAACTTGGCACCACAGCCCAGGGCACAGGACCCGTGTCCCTGCACCAAGGCCAGGAGGAGGTG